ACACACTGCAACTCAGTCCCTCACACGCAGCAACACTGCAGCTCAGTTCCTCACACACAGCAACACTGCAGCTCAGTTCCTCACACACTGCAACACTGCAGCTCAGTCCCTTACACACTGCAACACTGCAAGCCGGCCCTGCAGAATCCCAGGTTTAATAAGCCCTCGTCCTGTCCCAAACCAATTTCAGGTAAACATGGAGCAGGGCAGTTTCTGCACCGCTATCATTCCGCCACATTATGCTGCCTTCCCATCTCCGGGCCATCAAAGTTTTGTCCACATTCTGAAAACGTAACAATCTTGTAAGCTCATTAACTATAACAATGTGGGATGAATTGAACTGGCTGTAGACTGGTATCTGTACTGCTGGGACCACTGATGGAGGCTGGGATGGATGATACCCTCGGCACTTCTGGCTGAAGATTATTATAAATGCTAAGCCTTGCCTTGTACACAGATGTGCTAGGCTCCCCATCAGTGAGGTGGGGCATATTTGTGGACTGATCTCCTCCTGAAACTAGGGATTGCAATATCAGCAGCTGGAATTGTTTGTGGAGCAAATCTCTGTGTCAGTGTTTCAGGTTTTGACAAAGACGCCCATCCCTTTAATCAGTTAGAGTCAACCCTGGAGAGGGCTCACTTCCATCCCAGAAACAGGAAGCCGTTTCCTGTTTGTTTAAACTGTTATTTCAGTGACCACACCGACCGGAAACTGGAGTAAAATTACCAGAGATTTATCTACTGAACACAATAAAGGTGAAGAGTTAGATTTCTGTTAACAATAAGGAGTGGATAAATTAACATTATCAACTTTGAGAAAATTAAATGTCATCAGAGACACTCCAAGCTGCTTAATTTGGACATTATTGTCACACAAATCTGCTCAGGGAATAATGGCACTGACAGAGGAAACTAATTTGATTCAGAGACATTCTCTGATACTGGGCCATTCACAAAACCCCAAGTGAGAACGTGAGTTACATCACCCTCTCTAGCCTGGTTCCCCTCCTATCCTTCATCCAGCATAGTTCCCCTCATCTCCCTCCCCCTCCCCCCCTCCACTCCCCCCCCCTCCCCCCCCTCCTTCCCCTCATCCCCCTCCCCCCCCTCCTGTCCATGTCCCTCTACCTCTGAATCCCCATTTCCCCTTCCCGCCATCCCTACACCAACTCCCTGCCCCTCCACATCTCCCTCCACCTAGCCATCTCCCTTCACATCTCCCTCTCCTTCCCCTCTCTATCTCCCTCTCCCCCTCCCCACTCCCTCCCTCTCCACATCCCTCCCAACCTCCTCCTACTCCCCATCCTGTCCTCCTCCATCCCTCTCCCAACCCTATCTCCCCTCATCCCTCTCCCCATCCCCATATACCTCCCTCCACATCATCCTCCCAACCTCATCTCCCTCAATCCCTGTCTTCCCCACCCCCTCCCAAGCCCCCTCCACTGCCCCCCACCACTCCCTGTACCCAGCTCCCTCCCCTCCCCATTTCCCATCTTCCTCTCCCTCCCCATATCACATGTTCCTCCTCCTCCCCATCTCCCCCAATCCCCCTCCCCTTCTGCCTCCCTTTCCCCATCTCCCTCCTCCTCCCCATCTCCCTCTTCCTCCTCATCTCCCTCCTCCTCCCCATCTGCCTCCCCTTCCCCATCTCCCCCAATGCCCCTCCCCATCTCCCTCCCTTTCCCCACCTCCCTCCTCCTCCCCATCTCCCTCTTCCTCCTCATCTCCCTCCTCCTCCCCGTCTGCCTCCCCTTCCCCATCTTCCTCAATCCCCCTCTTCATCTCATTCCCCTTCCCACTCTCTGAGCTATCCTCTTTCTGATTCCTGCGTGTTCCTCCCTCCCTGCTCCAATCCCACAATTCAGTCTTCATTTCAATACACAAGGAACCTAATGCGCCTTCATGCCCTCTCAGCGTTCAATCTCGTCATGAAGTCAATAACAGAGAAAACTACCACATTCTCAGGGCAACTATGGATGGGCAGTGAGGGCTGGCTTGGCCTATGATGCCCACACCCCATGAGTGAATGAATGTACTGTCCTTGTTCTAATGTAACAAAAATGGCAATTAGTCACAGCAAGATCCCATTGGCATTGAGGCAGAAATGGCCAGGCCCAAAACAAC